TCGCCGTCGAGTCTTCTCTGCGTCCCCGGCAGGGGGCGCGAGGTCGCGCGTTCCAGGCCGATGCCTGTCTCGGCGGATGCGCTCGCTGCCTGCTACAGCAGGCGAGGGGTTGGGTTAGTCGGGCTCCTTGCGGGGCCCGATGCGGTGTCGAGTCCGGTGGTTTGCCCCGCCATGGGCCGCGCTCTAGCCGGGCAAGCCCGGCGAGCCGCAGGCTGTTGGCGGGGCATGGTCGTGTCCAGTGGGGGCGCCGCTAGAGGCCGCGCTCGAGCCGGGGGGAGCCCGGCGAGCGGCGGGTTGGTAGCGGCGCGCGGTCGTGTCCGGTGGGGGCGGAGACTCTACCGACCCGCCAGCGGGCGGGCGGGAGTCTCACGCGGTGTCCGATGGGTCGGTCAGCGCGACCAGGTCTCTTGGGAGGCCGAAGCCGTCGGGGGGGCGCCGGTGGTAGGGCGCCAGCTCCCGGAGGTGGTCGTGCCGCGACCGATCGGAGCGCTCGAAGAGTGTGGTGCTCAGGCGCTGCACGAATGCGTCGACGCTCTCTACGCCGAGGTCTCGGGCGATTGTCGCGTTCCGTACGAAGCGCGGGGCCTGTACGATGGTGCGCAGCGACAGTGACTGCTGCGCACGGAGGCGTTTCTTGTTGGTTTCGGACACGAGCGCGTACCATGCCGGGGCGGCGTAGGTGAGCCGTGTCCGAATGTAGGCCTTGTAGATACCGAGCTTCGCACGGAGAGGCAGCGCCGAGTCGATCACCGGGCGCAAGAGGCAACGCGCGGCGCGCGCCTGAGCAACAGCCTGCTGCACGTGGGGCGTCATTGAGAGCGAGCGGTCGATGGTCACGCCGAGGTATTTAACGCTCGGCGCCCACCGGACCTGCTCTCCCATGAGTGTCATGGGTGTCGGCTTCATGATCCCCACGGCGAGCGCTTGAGTCTTGGCCACGTTCACAGCCAGTCTCCACTTCTCCAGCCATTCAGGGAGTGCATCTAGGGCGCGCTGTAGTTTAACTACTGCGTGCCTCGGGTTCATTGATGTCGTGTAGTAGGCGGCGTCGTCGGCGTACAGCGCTAGTTTGACGCCGCTCGCGACGGGGATGTCGTCCGTGTACACGCAGTAGCACACAGGTGAGATGCAGCTTCCCTGGGGCACGCCGGCACGGATGTTCCGCTCGGTCGACAGAGTGCCTTCCACTGCCACTTGGAAGGTTCTGCCGTGCAGGAAGGTGGCCACGATCTTAACTAGTCGTCGAGGAGTAGTAGATGTGGCCAGCTTGCTGAGCAGGCCGGCGTGCCAGACGCGGTCGAACGCCTTCTCCATGTCGAGGAATACTGCCGCGGCGCGCTCGCGCTTGTTGCGCGCGGCCGCCAGGTCGTGCAGTACCCTCGCCACTTGCAAGGTGGTGGAGGGGAGGCCCTGAAGCCGAACTGGTCGCGTCTACTATATTACAATCTACATCTACATTTTGGAATGACCACCTAGCTTCATCTAGCTTTACCTAACTTCACTGACAGCCTGACTAATAGACTATAATTGTACAGTTCGTAAACTTACAGATTGTAGTTAATTGTTGGAGTGTGAAGAGAAATGAACACGAAGTTGTAGTTGAAGAAGTAAAGTTATATTGCTGATAGTTACACTAGGTCGTCGATATTGACTATTCCTTTCTCTTAAGTAGTTTGTGTTATCGTTATAAAATGCACCCTGGTCCATATGTGTAGCAACCGTATATTTATAATTAGGTAAAAAATGACACTCATATATATACAATTGAAGACAGTACACTATTATTTATTTTGTATTTGTTGACGTTTCAAAAGTACCAAATTATGGTTAAAATGAAATAAATGCTTTGACTTTGATTTTATCTTGTTGTACAGTTGGTGCGTTGGCTCGAGAGCCGGCTGTTGTGCAACGTGTAGCGGTCGATTCCCGCACGAAGCAACTCTGTGTTTGAACGACAAATTTTATTTACCTATATTATGCATCTTAAACTGTCAAACACCAAGCGGACACCGGTGACCGCAACCTATTGTTCTACCTCTATAATTGTGTCTATAATGACGGTACTCGACGAGTTAAAGAATAAATTTTCTTTCCCAGCTGTACCAACTATCCCGCCTGCTCCGCGACCATGAACCAGATCTCCACGCGAAGCTGGAAGCGTTGGATATATCTCCAGCATTGTACGCAGCGCCGTGGATGCTCACTCTCTTCACCAGTCAATTTCCTTTGGGATTCGTTGTTCGAGTTTTTGGTGAGTTCAAAATGATTAATTATTATTTTTTATTTTATTTATTTATTTATTATTTATGTACACACATAAAACACAAAGGACAATACATATATAAAAACAGAGTACATAGGCCCCACATATTCCAACTGGAATTTCTTCTTGTGGGCCTGTGGCAGGAAAAGAAATAATGATACCGAGACACATAGTTTGTTACACAAATAACAATAATGATCAATAAAACAAATTAATATAATACAATTATGATAAAAAACCAAACCCCCGAAGGGGTAGGCAGAGGTGCAGATTATACCACTGTACAATATAACACCCACTTTTCACTATTTATGTTATGAGTCCCATGTAATAGGGGGTGAGCCTATTGTCATATACCGGACACAAGTCCAGACTCCGTGCTACTACTGAGATTTTTTAAAACCCAGTAATACTTTGCCCGACCCGGGAATCGAACCCGAAACCCCTTGCCCGGTAGTCGCACTTGCGACCACTCGGTCAACGTGGCAGTCCACACAAAGAATTGAACCCGCGACATATTGCACGCCAACCGTGCCGTCATTACATTCACAATACGCTCAACTTTATACCTATATTTATTTCTCCTTCCAGACCTAATATTCCTGGAGTCCCTAGACGTGGTGTTCTGTGTGTCGCTGGCGCTCCTGTCGGCCCACAAGGACGGCCTCGTGATGTGTGAGAGCTGCGAGGAGGCGGCCGAGTATCTCAAACACAAGTTGCCGGATATGGACAGACCTATGTATGAGAAGGTCATGAAGAAGGTACGTTCATTTTTGTAGTTTTTTTTAACTAGCGACCCGCCCCGGCTTCGCACGGGTGCAATATGTATATACATACAAACCTTCCTTAAGAATCACTCTATCTATTAAAAAAAACCGCATCAAAATCCGTTGCGTAGTTTTATAGATCTAAGCATACATACGGACATACAGCTAAAGCGACTTTGTTTTATACTATGTATTGATTTACATGTATTTTCACCCAACACCCTCAAAACTCAATTCCCAACCCCTAATCCCTAATATATCTCATGGTGGCCCGGAGCTTTAAGACGCCCGCTTCTCATGCATGAGGGCTCGGGTTGTAAACTTACCAACGGCAAGTACCAATGTGACTTTTTCCGAGCTATATGTTCTTTCTAAGATTATTTAGACACCACTGACAAACGGTGAAGGAAAACATCGTTAGGAAACCTGGGTATATAATTTCTAATTATAAGTTTGAAATAGTCAACCCGCATTGAGCAAGCGTGGTGGTTAATGCTCAAACCTTCTCCGTGTGAGAAGAGGCTTTGCTCTGCAGTGGGCATTTATAGGTTGTTATTGCAAACGTCGGAAGTGCTCCACGAAGTTCGACCGACTGTTGAGGACGAGTCCCAGGTACTTCATCGTCGTCTCGACGCCGATGGTAACTCCTCCCGCCATTATTTGGGACCCACCCGGAGGTGGCGCGTTCCGGCGGCCATGAAAACACATGGCCTCGGACTTGTGGAGCGCCACCTCGAGTCTCAGTTGCCGGATTCTTGTTGACTGTCGTTACCGCTCTCGCCGTTAAATTAGCCGCCGCCTGATGCGACGGATAATGCCGAAGGTTTTGATACAATTTTCAACAAATTCTTTGTTAAATTTAGGAAGATTTAGTATATAGACGTGAACGTATTTAAACGTAGTTTATAAAAAAATATTAATATTTCTAATGAGGTAACCTACATTAGTTTTATTTTTATTTTTTTACCAGGTGATATCCCTAGACATAAGTCGTCAACTATGCGACTACGCTGTGGAGTACGCCGTACTGAGAGAGGAGATGCCACGACTCGCCACACTCACTGAGGACAACCGACAACTACTGGAGGACAAAGCCAGAATGGGGGAGGAACTTGATGTGAGTAATGATGTAGCTATCCGTGTGTCACAGGTTCTATTGCGCGTCGAAACAATTTCTTGTATTGACATCATACATTTCATTTTACATGGTAGTCATAATTAGCATGAAATCTAGATTATGAAACAGTAATTAATACGAATTAACTATTTGACGAGGTAACTCGACCAGTTTCAAGCCAAAGTCAAAGTCAAAGCATTTATTTCAATTAATCCTTCATGAGGCACTTTTGAAACGTCAAATATTGAATTAGCCGTCCGCCTGTCTGTCAGTGAAGTTAGGCGCTCGTTCTGTCCAAAGGATAGCCACTCTCAGGATTCATATGAATGGCATTGATCGAAAAATGACTCTGTGAATAGATATGGGGAAGCCTCTCAGGCCTTCTCTTCATATGATTTGTCATAATCTTCACATGCGAATAACTACAGTATAAAAAATAACTCCTTTCTATTTTATAGGAGGCAATGGACGCGATAACAAATTATCAGAAAAACCAAGCGAAGTTAGAAGCAACAAACAAAACGTTAGAACAACAGCTGACATTACTCTCAAGATACATCTCTGCTCACCACAAACAAGAAATCCCAATAGAAATCAAAAAAATCGTCCAAAATCACAGCAAAAAATTATCTTTCAAAATATTCTCGACGAAATTCTCAAACGACGAACAACAAGAAGATCCGCGGAAGAACTTCAAAACGGGAATAAGTTCGCCGAATTTGTTCTCGAAAATTCGCGAAGACTCGCCGAAGGAGATAGACCACGAGCGAAAACAGTTTATGATGAAAAAATCACAATCCGTCCATTCCGGTTTGATAGCAAACATGAAGAACTATCAGCTAAAAGTTCTAGACGAAAAAGCCGAAATTAAAACCGAAAATATAACGGACACATTGAAAGAACTCGGCAAAAAGAATACCGGGTTTTTCGCAAGCACACACGAACAGATTCGACAAGAACGGCTTTTCGAACACCAATTAAAAAACAATTTCGACGAGAATCTACGAAAATTGGACGAAAAGTTAAATGAAAAATTAAACCCGTCTTCCTATATAGACGATTTGAGTATGTTTCAAAGTCGAAAGAGTATGTCATTGAATTTGACTCCTATAAAGGATGGGAAAGTGAATGATAGTGGGTTCGTTACCCCATTGAGTCCAGAAGAGAAGAAAGAAGACTCTTGTTCGACTATTTCTCATCCGCTCAGCGATTGTGACGTCGAAATTAAATTTGATGGACAGTCAACGAAACTAAAGCAAATTAGGCCTATTAAACATGTGGAAAAGTCTTAGTAAGCAGTTCCTACTATCGCCTGCTTCGACCAACCTCTCTTAAGTTAAAAGAAGCTAACATAGGTGACACTTAACGACATACTAGTATTTATTGACAAGGCACACCTAACAGTACAAGTAAAGAGTTAAAGTACTGTTACGCATGCCCTAAAGGCTCACCCCCTATTACATGGGACTCATAACATGAATAGTGAAAAGTGGGTGTTACATTGTACAGTGGCATTAAGTGTCGTCCACCTCTGCTTACCCCTTCGGGGATAAAAGGGGGTGAGCCTATTGCCATATACCGGGCACATTTCCAGACTCCCAGACTCCGTGCTATAACTGGGATTTTTTGAAAAAACCCAGTAGTGCTTTGTCCGAGCCGGGAATCGAACCCGAGACCGCTTGCCCGGTAGTCACACGTGCGACCATAGTAAAGTATTATATTGAATATTGTAATTTAAGAGCCGATTTTTTAATCATCAGTTAATTTTGAACCGTAGATTGAAATGTATATTGGACGGTTTTCAGTATGGAATATTTAGGTACTTGCCAACTAGTCAAATTCAATACTTTTTTTCGAACTGTCAAAAACGACAGTTTTCTATGTTTTTTTTTAGTATGAGATTGTGTATTGTGACGTCACGTTTTTTTGCGTCAAACAGCGTACATATTTCTTAAAAATATGCTACCAAAAACTAAAATGAAGTTGGTAATAAATTCAATGAATGGAAGTGTGATTATTTTTTAATATTTTATTCTATTGAACAGTCGAAACAATTTATCTTTGATTATGGAAAGTACTCAATTGTTAAATATTCAAAGTTATTCTTCGGTCAAGAATCAACTGACAATTGAAAAATCGACCCTTAATTAAATGTAATATACGCGTTATATATTATGTACTAGATGCCTATTTGCCGTTAGTTAAATATAAGTAAAAATAATATTATTAATAAACCTATTTTTGAAACAATGTAATTATTTAAAATATATATGCGATGTTCAGATCACATAAATATAAAAAAAAACAACAACATAAGATTAATGTGAGTGTGAACAAAAATAATCACAATGTAAACTGCTGTAACGTCCACACAGGTCATTTTGACATGTTTGTAACATATAGTTACATTTCTTTTTTATATGCAACTAGCGACCCGCCCCGGCTTCGCACGGGTGCAATATGCATGTATTATACATACAAACCTTCCTTAAGAATCACTCTATCTATTAAAAAAAACCGCATCAAAATCCGTTGCGTAGTTTTAAAGATCTAAGCATACATACGGACATACAGCGAAAGCGACTTTGTTTTATACTATGTATTGATTTGACATTATTGTTTTAATGTGACATTGTTTTTCATATGTTGTTCTAACTTGACATTTACTTTTTATTTAACAATTGTTAGTGCTAGGACCGTGCGAGACTTTGCCTCACCATTTCTTTTCTAATTACCCTTTTTCTGACAGTTTGAGTATTTGTGCAACCCACGCAAATGTTCTTTAGGTTGGTATTGTTCGTCGAATCAGTCAGCCTCACCTGTTAATTGAGCTGACTGTAAACCGACACATGCGTACTGCCTTCAGAACGGGTCCGCTCAAACTGTTGTGGTTCTTTCCTCAAAAGCCCACTACAGAAAGAACTGGCACGGTTCTCACACATAATCTGTTATACATATTGTCTGGACTTTAAAAGAGACAGACCTCTGAGTTTGTTTCGGCATTTCTTCTCAGAGTAGTCAGTTAGGAAATGTCGACCTCATCGTTCGCTTGATAAAATTGACGTGTAAAAGTGCTGCCTTGTAGCCTATTTGCAGAAATAAATTCACTTGTTTCACTTGTTTCACAATAAATGCAGTAGTTATTTTTAACCGACTTCAAAAAAAAGAAGGTACTCAGTTTGACCTCTATGTATGTATGTATATTTGTCCGCAATTATCTCGAGATTGAATTCACCGACATTGCTGCGGTTTTCAAAAAATTGTTTGTTATAGAAGGTTTTAGGATATTATTGACTGCACGGTTGGTGCGGTGGCTGGGCAACCGGCTGCCGTGCAACGTGTCGCGGGTTCGATTCCCGCACGGGACAACACTTTGTGTGATCCATAAATTGTTGTTTCGGGTCTGGGTGTCATTGTGTATGTGAACTTGTATGTTTGTAAACGCACCCACGACACAGGAGAAAATCCTAGTGCGGGGCAACGCTTTTAAAAAAAAAATAATTAATTAACTAAGGGAGCTGAAGTCTACTTATTTAAACTTTGTTTATAAAATAATTATTAGATTGTTTCATTCGTTTTGCATATTTAATTTGCACCTCCGCCTATAGCTTCAAAGATTAAATAATATTAGTTGTGTACCTTTCGTCGTGGTGGCCCGGAGGTCTAAGACTCCCTGAGAGCCCTCATGCACGAGGATGCCAGTTCGAAACCTACCAACGGCAAGTACCAATGTGACTTTTTCCGAGCTATATGTTCTTTCTAAGATTATTTAGACACCACTGACAAACGGTGAAGGAAAAACATCGTGAGGAAACCTGGGCTTATAATTTCTAATTATAAGTTTGAAATCGCCAAGCCGCATTGAGCAAGCGTGGTGATTAATGCTCAAACCTTCTCTGTGCGAAAAGAGGTCTTTGGTCAGCAGCAGGTTGTTGATGGAAATATTTAAAAAAATACATTGTTTTGAAAAAAGATTTTAGCTAAGCAAAAGGTTGCCTATAATAGTGATATAAATATAGAAACTAGATTAATTAATAAAAATATATTTATAACAATAATGTTACATAATGAAAAGATATTCTACGGTAGTTTAATAACTGACGAAATTAATGTTACATTTTTTTAATAGGAGGCAATCGAGCAGACGGATCACCTAATGGAATATATGCATGTCTGTCTACCCCTTTGTGCAATAAAGTATGCTTATACGCTTAAAAATTATATATATATGTATTCACATCACAATGTTATAAAACAATTAGAAAATAAACCTATCAATGTATAAAACTGAAAATAAATCATTTTTACTATAATTTATGTTCCGACAATTTATGATTTAAACATAAAAAATATAAAAATAATTGAGAGAATTTTCAACACGTTGTTCATTGTTGTTGCATAGTTCATAAAATAAATATATAAATGTAATGGAAAAGGCTTCAAATAACATCTGTGTTCATTGTAGAATATAGTTTATGAATACTATATAAAAATTATTATATGTCTTTATTTTATAAGCTAAGTAAAATAGCCTTAACCGACTTCAAATAAAGAGGTGGTTATACCCGACTTCAAAAATATAAGTGGATGAAGTCAGTATTTATTCATCATCATCAACAGTTCGTGTTCGTCCACTGCTCTTCTCCAGTAGCACGCCATTGAGGTCGGTCTTCAGCTCTTCTCATCCAACCACTACCTGCCTTGCGGATGTCGTCACTCCACCTAGGTGGAGTGCGCCATACACTACGTTTACCTAGATAGTGTCTCCACTCTAGAACACGTTTACCCCAATGGTTATCGGTTCTTCGACAAATGTGACCGGCCCACTGCCACTTCAGCTTAATAATCCTCTGTTCTCTGTCCGATCACTTCGTTTCGGATTCTATCCTTCAAAGAGACTCCGAGCATAGCCCTCTCCATAGCTCGCTGAGCGACCTTTAATTGGTGGACCAGTCGCACTGTCAGTGTCCACGTCTCGGCTCCGTATGTCATTACTGGAAGGACGCACTCGTTGAAGATTTTACATGGGTTTATGGGTCATTCTGTGTTGGCTATATAATTATTTGTAGAAATAATGGTTAAAATATGAACAAACGAGGCTCTTATCTTAGCTTATAAAATAAAAATAACTAATATATAAAATATGAGTAGTCTATAAATGTATAATAGTATGTTAATATAATGCCCTATTTATATTAGCCTTGCTTACACAGCTTCCAAATGAACACCAATAAATACTAAATATAAAAAATAATTTTAATGTATTAATTATATTTACAGCACAATTATTATATTTATAATAGAAATTTATTGAAATATAATTGTAAATTTATTTATAAGAGAAACAAAAATATATTTTACTTCCTATTTATATTCATATTTTGTTGTTTTATAATTAAAGTTGTTTTCAGCTTGACATTGTTGTCGATTTAATGTTACCTACATAATTTTCTGGACAATTTATTTTTGACAAATAATTATTATACCTAATTATTTTTATAAAAGTTTTGAAATAATTTTAATATATTAAATATGATTACTCTTCCAACTAAATTGAATTTTAACCAAAGAATTCATTTATATATATATATAAAAAAATTGATTTATGCAACAAATTGGTATAAAATTTTTGGAAAAATATATAAATTGCTCAAAATTGTTTTTATTTTTATTAAAATTTATAAGTATTTTAGAATTAAATAGGAACACTGTGAAATAGTTTGGCTTAATTATAGTAAAATATTGTGATTTATTGTAAAAATATAATTATATTAAATTAAATATGAATAAAATAGTTGATTACAATTTGAAGTGTTTATATTTGTTGTTCTATTTACATCCCTTAGCCAAACAGCAGCTCATGTAGTGTAGATGTCCAGTCAACAAGGATGTAGCGAGGTTGACTGTCCAGACGACACAAGTACTTAGGTATCGACATGAGCTAATGTTCACATGTAAACAGCAGCTCATGTAGTGTAGATGTCCAGTCAACAAGGATGCAGCGAGGTTGACTGTCCAGGCGACACACGTACTTAGGTATCGTCATGAGCTAATGTTCACATGTAAACAGCAGCTCATGTAGTGTAGAAGAATTAAAGGCTCGTACACTAAACTGCGATGCGACGTCGCATCGCAAAAATGTGCAAGTGCAAGCTCTCTCTACGCATCGCAACAACTTGCGAATGGATTCGCATCGCGCATCAAAATCTTATCTTCCCAAAATCTTCTTTGTTTCTTTTTCCTGTATCTCGTAAACAATAACAGAAGTGCACACTTTTTACGATCCATGTCACGATCTAGTTTTCAATATAAAATATGTTTAGTTCGGTTGACGGTCGTCGAAGGAATGGTCACCCTGGGAGACGCCTCGTCGCACGAAATCGCATCGCATCGTATTTTTTTGCGTTGTGAATACGCATCGCAGTTTTATGTACGAGCCCTAAAACAGATAGAAATACCGTGGCTGGCTATGTCCTGTACGTACTACCCACTGATATGATACTTTTTTTTTAAGGGGGGAAAATCATCGAATGACTGCTCCCGCCTGGGTGAGGCGGGAGGGAGTGTCAGACTCTTACTGACTAAAAACCACCCCGTTCCTTCTCCTGCACGTCGAACCGGAGCCCCGGTTACCCGTTATACCATATTACCAAAAAGACAAAAATATATTAGAAAACCTCTTCTATCATAGAACTTTTCAAAGATTCTGAAACATCATCTATCAATGTTATTGTCAAAAAGATGACATCAAAATTATCGTATTTAATTTAATTTATTAATAGTTAATAATTCAAATTGTAACGTGAATTAAATTTCAGTTAATGTAAATACTTAGGTACTAAATTCTTGTGTTTTAAAAATCATAATGAAGTGTTAAATTGAAATATTTTTTTTTATTGAATCGTAAGTAACTATTGGTCTGTGTATACATAGGTTCTGCCATTAGCTTCTTCCACGTTCCCGTGGGACAATAAGCCTATGTGGTTTTTAGACCATCTCCTCTACCTCCTCGATCCCTTAAGCCGTTATGACGTGAAGGTGTCAAACAACTGCCTTATTGCCCGAGTGTTCGCTAGTCCAACTGCCCGGCAAGGGGTCTCGAGTTCGATTCCCGGGTCGGGGAAAATTCTCAGTAGTAACACGGAGTCTGGAATTGTACCCGGTATATGGCAATAGGCTCACCACCTATTACCATGGACCTCATAACATAAATAGTGCAGAAGTGGGTGTTAATATACAGTGGCGTTAAGTGCCGTAATGTGCTCCTCTGCCTACCCCTTCGGGGATAAAAGGCATGATGTTATGTTGAGTAACAAACAAATATACTAACTTCACTCATACGACGAAACACAACGCAAGCGTTGTTTCACGCCAGTGTTTCTAAAGACCATAGTATGACACGTCAAGCTACATCGTGCCAAAGCATGGCTCTCCCACGCATTAAACGTTGTTTCACGATTTCAGCGATAAATTAACAATGTCTTTACTCACATTACCGAGTAGTTTGGCTAATACAACAAGAGTGCACGAAAAATGGCTGCAAATTATACAGGCTGCTCAAGATGCCGTGGCAGATGATATGGATCAACAGGTATTATTTTTATTCATTAGTTTTTTAAGGGGGGAAAATCGACGAATGACTTCTCCCGCCTGGGTGAGGCGGAAGGGAGTGTCAGACTCTTACTGATTAAAAACCACCCCGTTCCTTCTCCTGCACTTCGAGCCGGAGCCTCGGTAACCCGTTAGGTTCTCCGTGACTCCGAATTGGCATCAGCCAGTGATGGTCTGATGGCTCTTTGAGGCGCGCGCGGAACGCGACCGTACTCTCGGGTCTGGTTGTGGTCGGCGAGCCACCAATGCGCGCCATCCGCAGGCCCGCGATCCCCGACGCCTGAAGTATCCTTCACGATGGCTGGGTTGTGAGAAGGCAGCGCTTCGCTGCCTCATGCGTCCCGCCTCCTCCTTAGCTATCATGATCAACAGGGATAGATGTAGATATTAAACCCACTATCGATAACAACAAAGCTTGTTAGGTAGCAAATTAGTCGTAATACGAATTTTTATTGTTTAACTCGTCGAGTACCGGTTTTGTAGACACAATTATAGAACAATAGGTTGCGGTCACCGGTGACCGCTTTGTGTTTGACAGTTTAACTCGTCGAGTACCGGTTTTGTAGACACAATTATAGAACAATAGGTTGCGGTCACCGGTGACCGCTTGGTGTTTGACAGTTTAAACTGCCTCGTTGGCCTAGTAGTCGCAAGGGCGACTGCCGGGCAAGGGGTCTCGGGTTCGATGCCCGGGCCTTGCAAAGTATTACTGGGTTAATTTAAAACAAAATTTAACTCTTTGAGTAGGTATCGTCATTATAGGCACACTTAAAGAACAATAGGTTGCGGTCACCGGTGTCCTCGCGGTGTTTGACAATTTAAAGGCGAGAAATACTTGAAAAACAACGTAAACAAGTTTAAAAAAAACCACGCAGCGCCATCTATCACTAAGTAGCATAACTACTAAGATACAGATTAGAAATTCGTTGACTTATAAAACAGCAAATAAATGAGTCGAAAAGTGCACCGAAGAGGTACCTATAATATCCTAAAATCTATAATATACACAATTTAATGTAAAATGGTAGGAACCAAAATTAAAAGCGAAAAGTACTTGAAAAACACAACGTTATCAAGTTTTAAAGATCCAGCGCCATCTATCGCCAAGTAGCGTAACTACTAAATAGATACCACTTAGTACTTCGTTGTTCATAAAACAGCAAATAAATGAGTCGAAAAGTTCACCGAATAGGTACCTTTAATAACCTAAATACTATAAAATACACAATTTAATGTTAAAGTGTAGAAACCAAAATATTATAGCAAAAAGTACTTGAAAACAACAACGATACCGACTTCTTAAAAGATCCAGCGCCATCTATCGCTAAGTAGCGTAACTACTGCATAAATACAAATTAGTAATTCGTTGATTTATAAAACAGCAAATCAATAAGTTGAAAAGTGCACCGAATAGGTACCTTTAACATCCTAAAATCTATAAAATACACAATTTATTGTAAACTGGTAGGAACCAAAATGAAAAGAGAGTAGTACTTGAAAAACACAACGTTACCAAGTAAATAAAGATCTAGCGCCATCTATCGCCAAGTAGCGTAGCAACTAAATAGATACCACTAAGTAATTCGATGACTTATAAAATAGCAAATAAATGAGTCGAAAAGTTCACCGAATAGGTACCTTTAATATCCTAAATACTATAAAATACACAATTTAATGTAAAGTGGTAGGATTCAACATTTAAAAGCGAATAGTACTTAAAAAGAACAATGTTACAAAGTTATTTAAGATCCAGCGCCATCTATCGTTAAGTAGCGTAACTACTACATAGATATAACTAAGTAATTCGTTGACTTGTAAAAAACAGCAAATAAATGAGTCGAAAAGTGCACAGATCAGGTAGCTTTAATATCCTAAAATCTAAAAAATACACAATTTAATGTAAAGTGGTAGAAACCAAAATGTTAAAGCGAAAAGTATTTGAAAAACATATCGTTACCAACTTTTAAAAACATCCAGCGCCATCTATCGTTAAGTGGCGTAACTACTACATAGATACCACTTAGCAATTCGTTGACTTATAAAAAACAGCAAATCAATAAGTTGAAAAGTGCACGAAATAGGTACTGTTATATATTAAATAACATTAATAAGAATATAATAATAAACAGCTGACGCTGCAACACGTGTATTCCACTGTACTTATTTTACATTTTTCCATTGAGAAATTATACCTTAGTACATTAGTGTGGATTTGAACGTCGTCGCGGATAATAGGCTTTTTGTAAACCTTTTTATTAATTAAATATTTTTCCAGTTCTATTAAAAGTATTTTTTTTTAAAAGCCTACTTAGACCCACCCCGTAACAGTACCTTTAACATCCTAAAATCTATAAAATACACAATTTAATGTAAAATGGTAGGAACCAAAATTAAAAGCGAATAGCACTTGAAAAATACAACGTTACCAAGTTTTTCAATGATACAGCGCCATCTATCGCTAAAGTGGTAGGAACCAAAATCAAAAGCGAATAGTACACAAAGCACCGCTAATTAGTTCGAGGCGCTACACATCGACATTACTATCATTTACACAGTGAACATGTGTGGGTAATTTCATATTAATAGATATGTATAGAAACATTCGTTCTATCACACACATCTTGGTATTACATATCATTTTTGTGTCGGTATACGTAATATTTTAGTAAATAAGTTTAAATAAAAACGAGGGTAAAGATAAAAATACTCATAACAAACTTTGAATAAATCGAAATCAAAAATAATGAACGATCGAGCAATACAATACTTATATAAATATAGTGCATTCTCATTGTATTTTTATGTTACTGAATGATATACAATATTTCGATGTTCTCATCTACGGCGCGCTTGGCGCAATGGTTATCGCCTCCAGTGGTCAAGTAAAGTGCCACCGGATCGATTCCAGCATTCACATGTTGTTTTAGTATTAATTAATCAAATATTTGAAATGTGAAATTAGAAACAATTAAATCTTTTCTTTTTTTCCTATCCTATTTTTCTAAATCTTATGTTAATTTTAATAGTAAATACTTTAGATTTATTTATACCTATAATATCCTTTATTTATATTTTAGTTCTAGTTATTTATTATTTAGAATAATTTAGAATGATTGGAAGAACTTTAAAGTTAACATGTGGTATATAATTAATTATTAGATATAAATATTGAATATAAAACCACATATTTGTATAATTAATAAATTAATTTTAATAAAAAATAGTATTGTTTTATTTACCGACTGATTTGCTTCTTTTATAGCCTGATATTTATATTATATGACAAAAAACAAAAAAAAAATAAATAAGAAAAACAACAAGGTAAAATAAAAAAAAACTTTTAGCTGGAATAGAACCCACATCATCATTGATCCTTGAAAGACGATAAAAGCGTACTCATTAACCAATCGACCACGAGCACTACGATAATTACAGTGAAAATGTCGGGTCATATCAATGATTGTAAATAGTTTTAACCTTACCCATGCATTAAATTATAAAAATACGTATACCGACACAAGAATGAAAATACCAATGTGAACGTGGTGGACGAATATTTTTATACACAGTAATATGAAATTACCCACACATGTACATTGTGTAAATGACAGTAGTGTCGATGTGAGCGTTACGAACTAATTAGCGGTGCTTTGTGTACATAAAAAACACAACGTTATCAAGTTTTTAAAGATCCAGCGCCATCTATCGCCAAGTAGCGTAACTACAAAATAGATACCACTTAGTAATTCGTTGACTTATAAAACAGCAAATAAATGAGTCGAAAAGTTCACCGAATAGGTACCTTTAATATCCTAAATACTATAAAATACACAATTTAATGTAAAATGGTAGGAACCAAAATATAAAGCGAATAGTACTTACTTGAAAAACACAACGTTATCAAGTTTTTAAAGATCCAGCGCCATCTATCGCCAAGTAGCGTAACTACTAAATAGATACCACTTAGTACTTCGTTGACTTATGAAACAGCAAATAAATGAGTCGAAAAGTTCACCGAATAGGTACCTTTAACATCCTAAACTCTATAAAATACACAATTTAACACGTATACCAATATTTTTGTTTCCTTCGGGAATATCAATTTCTTCCGGGACAAAAAGTATCTTATTATTTAATTCAGACTTCTAACTTAACGTCGGCAAAATTTCAAAGCAATCGGTTTAATAGTTACGCCGTGAAATGGGAACAAACAAACAAACAAACAAACTCACTTTCCGATTTATAATATAAGTAAGGAAGTAAGGATTAAAGCAATTCGTGCAAAATTATTCCACAACTTAAGTTTCCACGTCTGCCGGCAATCCCCGAATGCAACCCGTCGTTTTTTTCTTACCCTGTCTACACACACATTTCAGAATTTCTCAGCAAAAGGAATACGTATAAAAGAGCGAGCAATACCACCAGAAATACTTGGCAGAAACTATAGCAGATACTGCTACCTTATCAACCAGATGTATGACGCCTACTTAAACAATGTACACCTGCAGAGAGCCACATATATACAAGAGATCATCAATATTTGTATGAAAAGGTTTGTACGGTCTTTACTGGTCTTTTAGGGGGCAGAAGAACAGGGGGATCACCTGATGGCGAGTAATTGACACCGCTCATGCACATCTCTAACACCAGAGGCGTTAATTTTTTTTACGGGATAAGCCGGTAACCGAGCAGACGGATCACCTGATGGTAAGCAATCGGTGTCGCCCATGGACACCTGGCATACCAGAGGCGTTACAAGTGCGTTACTGGTCTTTTGGATTCAGGGATTGGGGAAGGAGGGGGGGATTGGGCCTCCGATAACCTCACTCACATGACGAAAAACAACGCAAGCGTTGTTTCACGTCGGTCTTCTGTGAGCGTATGGTATCACTCCGGTCGAGTCGGCCCATTCGTGCTATAAATAGTGAAAAGTGGGTGTTACATTGTACAGTATAGCATAATAGCATAATGTGCACCTCTGCTTACCCTTTCGGGGATAAAAGGCGTGATGTTATGTTATGTGTCTTTTATTTCTCCAGATTGTTTGAACTTCGCGATGAGCTAGTACATGTAATAGTCAACGACTATGTCTACGTTGACGCTGGCTTAGTTCAACTTCAGATGACCCCTTTTGATATACAGGTATGCGTGACGATATTTTCTCAATTAAACGTTTACAGCGTAATTGATTGAAGACAAAGTATTAAACTCTTACTAGTTTATCTATATAACTCCTCTTTCACATTTTCCAGATAATAGTTCCTTACCATTTCCCCTTGGAATGCCGGAAAGACTCGGTAGAGAAATTTCTACAAAAATTGTGGGCAGACGCTGTCAAAAGAAAAACCAAAGGGCAAAGTATACTTGACATGCAGAACCAAGAACAGGTATACATTACATCATCAGCATCATCATATCAGCTACAAGGTCCACTGCCTCGCATAGCCCCCCCCCCCCCCCCCAATGCTGATAAAAAGCAATTAATTTTTTATTGAAATAGAAGGCAAATATGCAGACGTATCACCTGATGGTAAGCGACTAGTGCCGCACATGGACACCTGAAACACTGGAGACATGTGAAAAGTCAGCTTTCTAAAAATAAATACGCTCATTTCTTGAAGGTTTTTTTTTAACCCTTTGAGTACCATCATTATAGACACAATTAAAGAACAATAGGTTGCGGTCACTGGTGTCCTCGCGGTGTTTGACACTTTAAGTGGGGAAAATCGTCGAATGTTTGCTCCCGCCTGGGTGAGGTGGGAGGGAGTGTCAGACTCTTGCTAACTGAAAACCACCCCCACCCTCTTGCACGTCGAGCCGAAGCCCCGGTAACCCGGTATAATAATCATAATTTTACAATATTGACGTGCAAAAGGGCTATTTATAAAATAATTAGCGGTCCGGCCGGCTCAATATTCATGTATTATACACATAAACCTTTCTTAAGAATCACTCTATCTATTAAAAAACCGCATCAAAATCCGTTGCCTAGTTTTAAAGGTCTAAGCATACATAGGGACAGACAGACAGCGGATAGCATCTTTGTTTTATACTATGTAGTGATTTCCCTTTTTTCATTTGTCTCTACTTCTGCTTACCCGAAAAACTCCTGGTATTCGAACAGCCCAAGCCAGCGACCTCGAAAATCAGGGCCAGTTGGACTGAAAATACTGGATTAGATGAAGGTGGGGTACCACCAGAGCCTGCACCTGCTCCCCAACAAGATAAAAAGTCTGAAGATTCTGCTAGCAGTATGAAGGATCCCTTATTTTTACATGACACATTCTCTTCCATAGTGCTTGGTGACTGTGCTTCTCACAGTTGTGCATTTCTTTTGGCTTAGACAGCTCGTTTGATGTGGTGCCTGGTGTGTACCGGGTTCGATTCCCACACAGAACAACTCTTTTTGATCCACAAATTGTTGTTCCGGGTCTGGGTGTCATGTGTATGTGTAATTGTATGTTTTTAATCGTGGGTGACGTCACAGAAGAAAAAGCTAGTGTGGGGCAATGTTTTGTAAAATTACAAAAAAAATCTGAATTTTTCTGTCGCCTGTATTAAATTCACCGAGGGGAGTGGAAGCGAACGCTTTTTTTCTTCTTCTTTAGAACATCTTCTAACTAATTTTATTGTGGGATCAGCATATTTGATTCCACCACAGGGGGAAATGTACTATAATACAATTACATAAGATACAAGTTACAATAGAGACAAGAGTTACATAACATTGGGTTGCTTCAGTTCATACCTATATATTCGATTTCAGTTAAAGAAAAAATAGATGTCCAGCCTGAGATTCCGAAAACATTCACTTTTACGAACATTATACAGAAGCATGAGAGATACAGGTAAAGCAATGTGCAATCTGGATGTGCAGGTATGAATATCGTGGTGGCCCGAAGGTTAAACCCTTCTCATCGCATCGGGTTGTACCAATGTGACTTTTTCCGAGTTATATGTACTTTCTAAGATTATTTATACACCAGTATAATGAAGGAAAACATCGTGAGGAAACCTGGGCTTATAATTCCTAATTATAAGTTTGAAATCGTCAACCCGCATTGAATAAGCGTGGCGATTAATGCGACCAGTTGTAATAGTCATTGCGTTGCCTACTGACGAGTTTGTTCAGGAACAAGAGGGTGGAATGTAGGCAACTCTTTTGTTAAAAACCTCCTTCGTAGCGCGATACGAAAAATGGTGGTAACCACGGAATATAGAATACAATGGAAGTAGCAAGTAGGCGTGGCACGCGTGCCACAACTAAGCAGTGTACTGCTTACTCGAGGCAAATTCGTGTTCAGTCGTGACAAATACATATTTCCTCAACTATGCCGTTTTGTTCCGTTTTGGCGTGTAAAAATGATAGCAGCCGAAAAATCGTAAAAATGGAGGTGTTTCGTATCATTGGTAAGTACAATTTTCATTGTTTTCTTGTAGAAATCTTATTTTATTTCAATTTACAAAAACGGTTATTAAAATAATATTATTTACTAAAACGGTTAGTCAAAATTAACCTTACGCCTTCAAGATAAAGTTTATTTTGGATTTATTCCATTCAATAGAACATTCTCGCCAGTTCTACGCTACTCAAATAGTGATGTGGTCAAGTTACATATTTATCGATTAATATCGATGCAAGTGTAATGTAACATTTATTTAGATTATTTTTTTATTATTATTTTAGTGGTGACCCCGACGTGATTGGAAGCAACCTTCACTTCACGGAGCAGATCAGCACCGTCATCCTTATCACATTATCTATATAAAGTTTGTAAAAAATTATGTAATAGTTGTTACTTATATTGCCTATGTGAAATAAAAAAAATGATTTTTTGAAAAAAGAAACTAATAAAAAATACGAACAAAATGGTTTTTGATTTACATGTAAATAAATACTTAC